TTTTTTTAAAGGTGACCGGTAACGGGATCTTAACCCTTGATTTGGTGTTGTCAGCACCACGCTCTCCCAAGTGAGCTAACTGGCCATCCCTATGCAGGGATCCGAACCCATGGCCTTGGTGTTGTCAGCACCACACTCTCCAAAGTGAGCTAACCGGCCATCCCTATATGGAATCCGAACCCGTGGCCTTGGTGTTATCAGCACCACACTCTCCTGAGTGAGGCGAAGGCCGGCCCACTGATGATGCTTTTTGATGGTAGCTATTTCTCAGAAATTTAAACTCAACAACATTTTCAGTTTTATAAACTTTACTAGACCATGTGAGTTTCACAAGGACCTTTTCATGTTGTAATTTGACCATAAGATTAACATTTCAGGGCTGGTCGGTTATCTAGTTGGTTAGAGCATGGTACTGATAACACTAAGGTCCAAGGTTACATCCCTGTACTGGTCAGCTCCACCCCCAACCCCCCAAAAATTGACATTTCAGTCAATGGCACCTTATAGCTTGTTCCTAATATTAGTACCCATTTTGCCAAGGTTTAGAGAACCCAGATGTTGGGGAGTAATTTTCAACTAGTGTGTAGATAGCATCCTAGGAGCTCACCACTTAATGTAGTTACCATGCATTCACAAGTTCCTTTAACGAATCATATTCATTGAAAATGGTAGTTACCATCTAGACAGTTCTTTTACAAAAATTATTTTAAACCTTCACCTTCCTGTTGTTCCCATGAAACAAAGATGGGCAGGAATGTCCCAAGGAAAAGTATGTTAAAGTTCGTGACTCCAGGGCCAGCCCGTGGCTCACTCGGGAGAGTGCGGTGCTGATAACACCAAGGCCCCGGGTTCGGATCCCACATAGGGATGGCCGGTTCGCTCACTGGCTGAGCGTGGTGCTGACAACACCAAGTCAAGGGTTAAGATCCCCTTACCGGTCATCTTTAAAAAAAAAAAAAAAAGTTCGTGACTCCATATCACTTTGTTTTGTATGATTCTGTTCATTTTCTATGATTTCATATACATATGATTATGCTCTACCTAGGAATATGTGGTTATTTATCCCTCCAAGTTTTCAGAAATGCTAGACTGGGTTTGTAGAGGCTTAGAGTATTGTAAGACTGTATTCAGACTATTACAAAAGATGCCCTAATACGAATCCAAGGCAGATGAGCTAAGACCAGTTTTAAAGTTCCTTACATCTTCCCTTTGTATTTCTGAGAATCCTGTTGGAACGACTTATTCCTGCTTTGGGCATGTAAGAATCCAGAGAGACAGGAGCTGAATAAGTGATAAGAGAGAAGTATCTTCATAGTAGGACTGTTCTGGAGACCCAAAGGGGATATTTGATAAAATTTACCTTTTATCTGCCAAAGCTGTGGTTCCCACTATCTTAGAGACAACCTGCTCCAGCTGCCCCGTGGGACAAGAAAGTCAAAACCATCTTCAGATCTACAAAGGAAATCAGCTTAGCTAAGGGTTTAATTCTAGACTGTTTTGAGCTCCATGAGAAGCTTCTTTAGGGTCAGTGAGGAATGACCCCTAGGTGCAAATCTCCAAACATTCAAAGAACTCATGTACTGATGTTTAGGACAATTTTAGGGACTGCTAAAATGGATGGGTGCTTTGTTCTACCTGTCTATACTGTCATGAAGTATGTAGGAAAATAGCATTGGGCTGAAAGTAGAGCTAGATTCTAGGCATGCCTTGCCATTAATCAACCTTGTGACCTTGAGAAAGTCACTCAGCATGCCTGGTCTCAATTTCCCAGATAATTTGTAAAGTCTTTTTTGAAACCATGACTATGGCTGTATATAGGAAGTGCAGACAGGATTGCTCTTTGCCTTATGGCTTTAGAGGTAATGTTGAGGAATAATTTACAGCTAATATGCAGATAGCATCCTAGGTGCTCACCACTTAATGCAGTTCCCACACAACCAAAAGGTCTTTTAACAAATCATATTCATTGAAAATGATAGTCACCATCTGGACAGTTCTTCTGGAGGTTACAGCTAAACTGGTTTGAAGATGCTTTCTCTTCTTAATAATACCCTGTTGTGATTGTCTTTTGCCAAGGTTCTGTGACTCCCCCACCAGTGACTTGGAAATGCGCAATGGTCGGGGTAGAGGCAAACGCATGCGTCCCAACAGTAACACACCTGTCAACGAGACAACCACAGCCTCTGACAGCAAAGGGGCTGGCAGCAGCAGCAAAACCCGAGCAGGAGCCAATAGCAAAGGTCGTCGAGGCAGCCAAAATTCTTCAGAGCATCGCCCGTCTGCCAGCAGTACCTCTGAGGATGTCAAGGCCAGCCCTTCCTCAGCTAATAAGCGGAAAAGCAAACCCCTTTCAGACATGGAGCTAAATTCTAGCTCAGAGGACTCCAAAGGGAGCAAGCGCGTTCGTACAAATTCCATGGGCTCAGCCACTGGCCCCCTCCCTGGGACCAAGGTAGAAGCCACTGTTTTGGACAGAAATTGTCCCTCCCCAGTCCTGATTGACTGTCCCCACCCAAACTGCAACAAGAAATACAAGCACATCAATGGACTTAAATATCACCAAGCTCATGCCCATACAGATGATGACAGCAAGCCAGAAGCGGATGGAGACAGTGAGTATGGAGAGGAGCCCGCTCTCCATGCAGATCTTGGGAGCTGCAATGGTGCATCTGTCTCACAAAAAGGTTCCTTGTCCCCTGCCCGTTCAGCTACTCCCAAAGTTCGGCTCATAGAGCCTCATAGCCCTTCTCCTTCAAGCAAATTCAGCACAAAAGGTCTCTGTAAGAAAAAATTGAGTGGGGAAGGGGACACAGACCTTGGGGCCTTATCCAATGATGGCTCTGATGATGGACCCTCAGTAATGGATGAAACAAGCAATGATGCCTTTGATTCTTTGGAAAGAAAGTGTATGGAAAAAGAAAAATGTAAAAAACCCTCTAGTTTGAAACCTGAAAAAATTCCTTCCAAGAGCTTGAAGTCAGCTCGGCCCATTGCCCCTGCCATCCCCCCGCAGCAAATCTATACCTTCCAGACAGCCACTTTCACAGCAGCAAGCCCAGGCTCCTCCTCAGGCTTGACCACCACAGTGGTCCAAGCCATGCCCAACAGTCCCCAGCTCAAGCCCATTCAGCCCAAACCCACTGTTATGGGAGAACCTTTCACAGTCAACCCTGCCTTGACTCCTGCCAAGGACAAGAAAAAGAAAGACAAAAAAAAGAAGGAATCTTCAAAGGAACTTGAAAATCCTCTGACCCCTGGGAAGGTATGTCGAGCAGAAGAAGGCAAAAGCCCATTCAGGGAATCATCAGGAGATGGGATAAAAATGGAGGGGCTCCTAAATGGCTCATCAGACCCTCACCAAAGCCGACTGGCTAGCATCAAGGCTGAAGCTGACAAGATCTACAGCTTCACGGACAATGCCCCCAGCCCTTCAATAGGAGGCAGTAGCCGCCTAGATAGCACTACCCCTACCCAGCCCCTGACTCCCTTACATGTAGTGACCCAGAACGGAGCTGAAGCCAGCTCGGTCAAAACTAATAGCCCTGCGTACTCCGATATCTCTGACGCTGGGGAGGATGGGGAGGGCAAGGTAGACAGTGTCAAATCGAAGGACCCTGAACAGTTGGTTAAGGAAGGGGCTAAGAAAACTCTTTTCCCCCCTCAGCCGCAGAGCAAAGATTCACCATATTACCAAGGCTTTGAGAATTACTACTCTCCAAGTTATGCACAGTCCAGCCCAGGGGCTCTGAACCCCAGCAGCCAGGCAGGAGTGGAGAGTCAGGCCCTGAAGACAAAAAAGGATGAGGAGCCGGAGAGCATAGAGGGGAGAGTGAAGAACGATGTCTGTGAGGAAAAGAAAGCCGAGCTGAGCAGTTCCAGTCAGCAGCCCTCTGTCATCCAGCAGCGTCCCAGCATGTACATGCAGTCCCTGTACTACAACCAGTATGCCTACGTGCCCCCTTATGGCTACAGCGACCAAAGTTACCACACCCACCTCCTGAGCACTAACACGGCATACCGGCAGCAGTATGAAGAACAGCAGAAGCGGCAGAGCTTGGAGCAGCAGCAGCGAGGACTGGACAAGAAGGCAGAGATGGGCCTGAAGGAGCGGGAGGCAGCACTCAAGGAAGAGTGGAAACAAAAGCCGTCAATTCCACCAACTCTTACCAAGGCCCCCAGCCTGACAGACCTGGTGAAGTCAGGACCCGGCAAGGCCAAGGAGCCAGGGGTGGACCCTGCCAAATCAGTCATCATTCCCAAGTTAGATGACTCCTCAAAGCTCCCCAGCCAGGCCCCTGAAGGCCTTAAAGTGAAGCTGAGCGAGGCCAGCCACCTAGGCAAGGAGGCTTCTGAGGCTAAGTCAGGCACTGAGTGCAGCCGACAGGCAGAGGTGGATCCAATACTCTGGTACCGACAGGTAACTTTCCCTCAGAAGAAATGGAAGTACTGTTTGATAATCTTTCTGTCTTCCTCACAAGTCATGGCTGTCCTTATATAGGGGTTCAACAGAATTGAGATTAGCAGGAGAGATGTATAATTTTAGGATTCTTTACCTTTGTAAACTATCTTAATGTTTTTTTTTTTTTTCCTAGGATCCGAACCCGGGGCCTTGGTGTTATCAGCACCGCACTCTACCGAGTGAGCCACAGGCCGGCCCCTTAATGTTTTTTAAAAAGCACTTTTACATCCATAAAAAGTGTTTTTCCAGGATCAAGGGTTTACATCCCCTTACCAGCCAACTGCCCCAAAAAAGGCATTTGACAAGAAAGGCACAGATAAGTTAGCTTAATTTGTCTAGGGTTAATTGAGACTTCATTAGCAGAGCTAAAACTAGAACCCAGGTATCTTGATTCTAGTCCACTGTTTGTTCCTGTGGAAACAGTTAATGGTGCTCTCTCCATTAGCTCCATTTTTTAGAGTAGGTTAGAAGTACACTACTCACTTAGTGAGTTTCTTTGAAAGGATTTTGTAAGTAGAGTTAGAACTAGGAACTTGGAGTTTCACATCCAGCTGTGCTCATGAGACTTAGAATGCCTTCTGCTTCCTCTTGCTGCCACGTTATCCCTCCCTCCTCTGACCCGGGTGGCACTGATAGCTTTCCACCCCCTGAGCTTGCTCTGAAGAAGTAAAACAACCTAAAACATCTTAGAAGGGGGCAGCTTCTTCTATTGTAGGCGTCATTTCCCCAGAATGCTTGTTCTCACCTAGAAAACATCCACTGATGATTTTCCTTTTCTTTCCTTCCCCTACATTTTGTTTCCCTGGGGGTGGGGGTGGGAGTGTCTTTTTAAGCAAGAGGGACCAGAGTTGGATTGTAAATGAACATTAGAGGCCAAGATCCTACTTTGCCCCAGGTGTCTAGTAATTATCTGCTCTGGTGTTTCTACTGGGACCTTGGGCTTGAAATATATCTCTGTCTTATCTACATCACTCAGTCCTCATTCTGTGATTATTGTAGGAGGCAGAGCCCCGGATGTGGACATATGTTTATCCTGCCAAGTACTCAGACATCAAGTCAGAGGATGAGCGGTGGAAAGAGGAGCGGGACCGCAAATTGAAGGAGGAAAGGAGCCGGAGTAAGGACTCTGTCCCCAAGGAGGATGGGAAGGAAAGCACAAGCAGTGACTGCAAGCTGCCCACATCTGAAGAGTCCCGCCTTGGGAGCAAGGAGCCCCGACCAAGCGTCCATGTGCCTGTGTCCTCCCCCCTCACCCAGCACCAGTCCTACATCCCCTACATGCATGGCTACTCCTACAGCCAGTCCTATGACCCCAACCACCCCAGCTACCGGGGCATGCCTGCTGTGATGATGCAGAACTACCCAGGTACGGCACCCTCGTGCCAGGTGCTGTTCCGCTCACCAGGAGGGGAGATCAAGTACAGATTTCGGATCCAGAGTTTTCTTGTTCAGTCCTAAGGCTTATTGAGGCTTACTTAGATGACAGCACTTTTATGAATGTGTCATTCTGTGAAGTGGCCACTCTAATCCATAGCTCCATGAATGACCCCTAGTTACAGTCTGTGAGACTACCTCTCCTTCCCTTGCTCCAGCTAGAGGGTTGCCTCTACAGTCAGCTTTCATTGATAACTAAAGGTGAAACTCCCTCTCTACCACTGCCATCTCCCCTCAGCTGGGGTTTTTTATACTCTACATTTTGCAGTGTGTTAGGCACTGTGGGGAGTACAAAAGAAGTAGAGAAGACTACTTCCCTCCCCTTGAGGAGCTCACATCTTAATTGTAGCAGGAAAGACACATGGAACAAATAAAATTCAAACCAGAACAATGCGTGTATTCAGTTTTAAGATCATGTCCAGCTGTAAGGTCCGAAGGCCGTCAGAGATGGGAAGAGCGGTTTGAAATTAGATTGGAGGGTGGGAGTGGGGAGTCTAGCTAGGTTCAGCTTGGGAAAGGTAAGGTCTTTATAGTTGTTGGCAGCTCGGGGTGGGGGGCAGGCAAAGCAGGAGTTTGAATATTTTTTAACTTGTTAGAAGAAAATGCTCTTATTCAACATACTCATTGATTTCTCTTGCCTCTAGAGCCACGTGGGATGCTTCTGGGGTGGAAGGGCACCTCTTTAACTCACTCCTTAGAGCTCCCAACTTCACACAGAAGCCTAAATAAATAGTCTTGACATTCTGGCGACATTACTATAAGGCAAACTAAATAGAACAAGTAAGACTTTCAAACAGAGATAGGAAATTGCCTTGCCCTTAAGGGGTTCCTTCCTCCCTGTCACCCACACTCAACAATATAAAAATAATAGTTCCATGTGTTGATTGCTTGCTCCAGGCCAGACACTGTATGGGTAATTTTTACAGATTATCTTTTTTTTTTTCCTTTTTGTCTTTTTTTTTTTTTTTTTTTTTTTTAATTTTTTCGTGACCGGCAGCGGATCGCAACCCTCAGTGTCGCGCCCGTACCGGACTGGGACCAGCAACGGGATCGCAACCCTCGGTGTTGCGCCCGCACCTCGCTCAGCCAGTGAGCGGAAACCGGTCTGTATGTGGAATCCGAACCCTCGGCGGGAGCGCCACCGCACTCCCAAGTGGCGCACTGTAGCAGTGCACCACCGGGCCAGCCCCCAGATTATCTTTTTTAATCATACCCATCACCCTGCTTCATTTTGACGATGAAGAAACTGAAGCTAAAAAAGGTTGTTAATTTGCTCAAGGTTACCCAGCTAGTAAGCTTCAGAGGTAGGGTGTGAGCCCGAGGCTATCTGATTCCAAATCCTACAATATTTCCATTTTATTATATACCCTTCCTGAGATGAATCTCTGAGACTGGTTCAAAAACCATAGCAGGGGCCAGCCCGGTGGCGCACTGCTACAGTGCGCCGCTTGGGAGCGTGGCAGCGCTCCCGCCAAGGGTTTGGATCCCACATACAGACCGGCCGCTCACTGGCTGAGCGAGGTGCGGGCGCAACACCGAGGGTTGCGATCCCGTTGCCGGTCCCAGTCCGGTACGGGCGCGACACTGAGGGTTGCGATCCGCTGCCAGTCACGAAAAAAGACAAAAAGGAAAAAAAAAAAAAACCATAGCAGATCTAGGGAAGTTGACTGCAGGAAACTGATAGCCATGTTTCTAATATCCCTTAGCTAATTTTTCCCATAGAGCTCAGTAAAGAAAGGACAAGCCAATAGTCCCAGCCCAAAGACACCAAGGTAAAAAAGACCTCAGCCTGTGCCTAGAAAAGCTGATGCTCACTAGAGCAGAGTTTCTTTTACCTTTCCCATCTCTTTGACTGCTTGACTTCTCCTTCCCCAGGTTCCTATTTGCCTTCCAGCTACTCCTTCTCCCCATATGGCAGCAAGGTCTCAGGTGGTGAAGATGCCGACAAGGCACGAGCCAGCCCCAGTGTCAGTTGCAAATCCAGCTCAGAGTCCAAAGCCCTGGACATCTTGCAGCAGCATGCCAGTCACTACAAGAGCAAGTCTCCAACGGTAAGGGAAGGGCAGTGACGCTGACTGTTATCCAAAGACCAGTAAGGCCAGGTCCAGGGTCTGGTAGAAGGTGGGCAAGTTCAGGTCCTGACCACAGTGCAGCTTGACTGATCTGACATTGGCCCCACCAGGGCACCTTTTTGATTCTTAGGTACACTGCATTTTTAGGGAGTCATAATGTGGGACCCTGGGCATCTCACTGTTTTTTTAAAAAAGATGACCGGTAAGGGGATCTTAACCCTTGACTTGGTGTTGTCAGCACCATGCTCTCTCCCAAGTGAGCCACGGGCAGGCCCTGGGCATCTCCCTGTTTGTTGTATGTGTGTATCTCACTGTAGTGTTCTTGTATGTATGCTTTCCTTTCCAGATAAGTGATAAAACTTCTCAGGAGAGAGATCGGGGAGGCTGTGGGGTAGTTGGGGGTGGTGGCAGCTGTAGCAGCGTCGGGGGAGCAGGTGGAGGTGAACGGAGTGTCGACCGGCCTCGCACCTCCCCTTCTCAGCGTCTGATGTCCACACACCACCACCACCACCACTTGGGGTACTCATTGCTCCCAGCACAGTACAACTTACCATATGCAGCAGGTAAGCCTATTTTCCCCACCACCTCCTCTGTCTCCATCTTAGTAGTAGTGCCCACAGCAAAGGTCCACTTCTCTCCTCCCTGTCAAAGAATTCATTTTTTTTTTAAGCTTCTTATCTGTCCAGAGTCCTCCTAGCCTTGTGCAGACAGTCATTAAAGCATGTGACATTTATTTTCTCTCTTGAAGCTTAGGGTCTCTCAAACTCCTCCAGAATATTGGCTTTGATATACAGAAGAATAAGGAACAGGTGTTCCCACAGCCAAAGAGAAACAAGCAGCTGAAAAATACAGTCTTACTCTCTATCCCCAGCCACTATATCTGGCCAAGTATCAGATTTTTTTCTGTCAGCACCCCAAAACTCAGTGGAGCTAGGAATTTAAGGGGAAACTCCTCCCCATGCCCAGCTAGCTGAAGTATTTACATGGGAGGTTTCTGTGAGTGCTACACTAACATGTTCTCCTGCTCACTCAGGGCTTTCTTCTACAGCCATTGTTGCCAGCCAGCAAGGCTCCACTCCATCACTCTACCCACCCCCCAGGAGGTGAGAATGGTAAGTGTCTTTTGTTAATTTTGGGCAACACATAGAGCGGGCTAGTTGCTGCCTAGATCACAGAATCTCTGTGGAGCCTAGGTGAGGGATAGCTATGTGGGTCATTGGGCTGGAAATAGTGACACCCTGGCCACGCCTCTTATACAAGAGTCTCCCATGAAGCCCTGTTCTGTGCATCTGAGAGGACCTGTGAAACACAAGTGTCCCCCAGGGACCAGTACTGGCCTCCCCTGCAGTTCACTTTCGTGAGCGCCACCTTGTGGTTGTTATACCAGCAGGCTGAGTGCCTGGTTATCTGTCCGTTTCCCTTGCAGAATACCAAGTGCCCGGATAAAGTCAGCTCCACGGGCCCGGACTGGCTCACCCGAGGAGGTGCTGGAGGTGCCAATCAGACATCAGTTAAATGGTGTTGATCATCCTGTTTGCCATTCCTACCATGACCGAAGGCAGACCCTTGGCTATCTCACCTCCACCAGACTCCTGGACTCCCCAACCCTCCCTCTTCCTCAGGAGCTGGAGAGCTGGTACTTAGCAAAAATATTTATTCTTTCGGCCACAATCATGATTGTTGTGGCCTCTGTGGAGAGGAAGGCACAGGGAGCAACCAGGGGAACATGGCCTCAGCCCAGAGAAGTCACTGCTCTGTTCCCCAAGCCCCTGGTCTGCTGCTGGAGCAGTACCAACCCCCCACCGAGGAGGGACCCCCAAGCACTGGGTAAGGTCTGAAGACAGCACAGCAGCCATACCCCTCTCACCATCATTACCACCATCACCAGATCCTACATCTCCCCAGTGGTTTGGGCCCTGGGAATTGGCAGCATGTGGAGGAATTAGAATCTCAGGAAAGAAATTGGGGCTGTTTTCTCTGTTATTGTGAAAACAAGGTCTTCAAACATGGAGACTTCTCCCCTCTTACATGAGCACATATAAATGCTCAGAGCCTAGCCTGGAAAGGAAGACCAAGACATTTGCCCCACCACAGCCTTGAGCTACCTGTCAGGCAGAGGGCAGGGTTCCAACACCAGCATAGGGTTCCCCAGGGATACTGGGAGGAAGCTGGAGCTGGAGCATGAATGGAGTCAATGAAGTGGAACCTGCATCCCCACTAAGTCCTGCTGCTTCTTATCCCCCAACTCCTTGACCTTTTCTCTTCCTTCTGACCCCTTGGTGCCTTTCCCGAGGGGTTCCCCACACTGATCTTGCATCTTTTTCTCCACTGCTTGGCTCTTCAGACTCAGGCAGATAAAATGGTATTCCACCCCCAGCATGGGGAACCTAGGAGTCTGCCAGGTCATCCCTAGGGTAAGGCCCAGAAGACAGGCCCTTGGAGCACCCAGCAGTTCCTGCAGATGTCCTGTCCATTCAGCCATCTATCTTCCTTATTTAGGGCCATAAATATATACATCCCAACTCCTCTGTCTACAAGTACACGATTTTATATAGCTCAATCTATAACCTCCATGTGTGCCAATATAAGCCGTGTTTCTTTGTAACACACGTTTTTGTTTTAGGGGTCACTGTCCATGGGAGGTTATTTAGACCCTGGGGTAACACATCCAAGCCATTACTCATTGGAGCCACAGAGTGTACTGAGTGGAGCTCTGCTTAGGGGCAGCAGACACTTCTCTGCTCTCCTTAAAAATGCAGTCTCCCAGTCCAAGCTTTATGCTCTTTGCACTGGGAAAGTGATGATTCGGTAGCTTTATTGGAGTCACTTCTTCCCCAAGGTGTGGGGAGCTTTAGGTATCACCGCTTTGTTCTCCTCCCATCCTATCTTTCCTTGACCTTCTGGACTGAGACAGAGAAAGACTCACAGATACCAGCCTAGGCTAGAGATGGGTGTTTGTGACCAGAGTGCCAAAAGTGACAATTTAAGACCAGGAACGTGGTTCTGACTCAGTTTGGAGAACGGGGAGGTGGGGGGCAGTAAGCACAATGCCCAGGAGAGGTTGGTCTCAAGAATCCTGGAGCTTATGATAGACTTAGGGTCATCTGCCGACGAGGAACCCCTCTGACCTACAGACCCTTCCCCTAGGTTTCTATGTCCCAACCTCAAGTTGGTTTCTGAGCCTTCCCAAAAAACTCATTGTTTTAGACCTCTTGGTAGGTCCCCAAGCAGCCTCCTCCCTACACCCATCATTCCCTCTGCCTTCTGCTGCTCCAGGGGGCAGTGCTCTGAGCAGTGACTTCCCTTCCATCCATGGAAGTAGCTGGTGTGCACACTTTCACCCCACCTGACCTGAGTCACCCCTACCAAGAGGGTGACTGAATTTGAACCTGATTATGTCCTCCAAGGCTCCTGTGGGGTGGAGCCAAGGGCACATCTCTGTTCCTGTTTGTTTTTAAATATTGTTGTGTGTTTTGTATCTGTGGCGCTGACCTACAGCGGGCTGTGTACATATTGTAAAGAAACCATTTGGAATAATTTGTTTCCTCATCGGGCAGGCATGACCAACATTCCTGCCCTTTCCACTTTGTTCTGTAACTCAGAGAGGAGGAACTTCTGAATTAGAAGGGCAGCCTTGGATTCTGCAGAAGGGAACAGTTTTTTCTTTTTTTCTTAAAAAACATTTGGCTTTTTCATCCTTATATCCATGTCTCGAAGAGTAGGACCTGCCCAGAAGAGCAGGTGAAAGCAACAGTGGCAGAATGGCACTGCCTTCCCCTGGTGCCTGATACTCCTGATCCCTGATCCTTGCTGGGTCCAATTCTCCCTCCCTGAAATAACATGAAGCAGCAGCACCTTTGGAGATCCTTGACAAGTGCTGATTGAAAAATTCGCTGGCACCTCCAGCCTCTCTACATGGGAAAGAGTATCAGGTGGGGGCAACCTGTGGCCCCCCCCCGACCTAGTCAGAGGGATAAGACCTCAACAAGGATCCCCACCCCACCCCACCTCATAAGCAAAGGCTGGAAAAGTTTGCTACTAAGGGCCCAGACCGCCAGACCAAAACTCTCTGAGCCACCCCTGCCTGGGCCCTCATAAGCATCGCTCGTTGGGCTCCCTGTAGAGAAGCTAAAGGGAAAGAGCCTCATCCCCAGGTAGGACAGTCATGGCTTAGAGAGCTACTCTTGAAGATTCACATCTGCTTCTCTCATTTAAGGTGTGCCAGTTCCCTTTATCCCCTTTCCCTGCCTTGTACATGTATGTATACATGTATGAAATTTCTTTCTCTTACCCGCTCTCTCCATGAATCTCAAGGTCAAAAGAACCACATGCAGAAGGGTAAGAGAGCACTCTATGAAATGAAGTGGTGATTTCTTGAATTTCTTCTCTCCAGGCTCCAAGGTGGGAGGGGAGGGCTTAGCTTAGGGAGTTGGGGGTTAAGATCTGCAGAAGGGCTAGAGAATTGTATACAGGCTTGGAGGCCATCCATGTCACTTATTATCCCATATACCCTATCACCATCCCAGTGTCTACTCTGATGCCCCCAAGATTCAACTGGGCAGCTAGTTGGCCCCATAATTCTGGGCCTTTGTCATTTATTACTAGGGCATCCCAGTAAACTTTCCAATCATTCCCTGCCATGAGCCCTTCCTAGGATCAAGCCCCTCCCAGGCCCTGTCCCCAGCCCCTCCTGCCCCAGCCCACCCGCTTGCCTTGGTGCTCAGCCCCCCCGTTGGGAGCAGGTTGGGGCGAGCTGGAGGCCCGGGCTGGAGGGGCAGTGTTGCTGTTCATAGCTTTTGTTCCATTGGAGTTGCTCTGTTGAATTTAATTTCAGTCTTCCTGATTCTTCCCTTCTGTAAAGTGTACATTACCAATTTCCTTGTTTTTTTATATATATATATAAATATATATATATACAAACTGTACTCTTTTTGCCTTTGTACATTCAGGCAAGAAGAGAAAATAAATCTTTTTAAGAGACAATCACAAATCTGTGAGGGCTGCTGATTATTTCTTCTGGAGTTTGCTGCTGAGCTGCCTCCTCCTTCCTCCCAACTTTTCTCTTCTCCCTCAGCTTTCCTGATTTTCCTCGTCCTGCTCCATATGCATCCTCAGCTTCACCTTCCCTGGCTGATGGCAAGCTGTTGAATCCGGTGTCCAGATTACCTGCCCTGTAGTCCTTTACTGCCCAGTGTTGTTTTCTGGCTCGGCCACTGGCTTAGCTCAGGAGTTTTATCCTGTGCCCTGGCCTCTCCTCTCTTCACCCTTAGATCCCATTCACCAAAGTGGCTTTGGACCCCTGGGTACTCTGGGACCTATCTCCCGGAGGCCCTGGTATTGGACACTCACCTGTGAAACTATGCAGCTGGGAGCTCTGTGCCTAAGCGTTTGCACTATTTAAACCTGCCTGGGAGTTAGGACAGATGGCTTTTAGGAATGAGTAGAAAACTATCCCCAACCTTCCCCCCGACATTCCAGCCTCCAAGGTGCTCTGATCCGGAGCGCAGAGGATCATTCCTGGCTGGTAGACTCCTGTGGTTACCCCATCAGAACAAGGGCTAAGGGTTTATGGGTCAAGAACATTTAATTGTAATTCAAAACATAGTACATTCTGAAACACAACCCAACCAGACCATTGTTTGGCTTCTCTCTCTTTTCCTCTTCTTTCCTCCTCCCCTTTTTTCCCCTTTCTTTCTACTTCCTCTTCTTAATAGGCTTTGGAACTGAAATATATTTTTAAATTATTTGTTGTATTTATTGAATAAAGTTTTTAAATGTCCCTGTTCTTAAATTTAGACTTAGTTTGCCTTTCACATGTTTCCCCTATCCCACTCCACCATGCCCCAAAATATTCTACCTTCTAAGTTGCAGCCTTTGGGTACCATATTTCTTTCCCATCAGTGGTCTTCAATAGCAAAAGTCTTTTTTGAAAGGGAAATCTTGACTGGGTGCCTGGGTTTCCAGTTCAGCCCTTCTAACTCTGGCTGTGTTGAAAAGCAACCATCAATAGATGGCAGCAGACCCTAAGTGTGTTTCCTGTCCACTCTGCTAGCTTTGGGAAAAAAGAAAGGACTGAGTTTTGTCTTGAATCTTTATACGTATCCTGTAGATTCCTTGGGTTTGAGTTTAACATCTGAATCCTGAACTGTCTGCTGCCTTTAGGCTGCCGCTAGGAGTTATCCACTCAGTGGGGGACATCTTCCAGCCCTTCTCATTTCAATTAAATGTCTGTAGTCCCCAACTTGCTCTAATAATGAGGGGGTCTTCAAAAAGTTCATAGAAATACTTGTTTCAATTTCATTTTTCCATGAACTTTTTGAAGTACCCTCACACTTGTGGGGAGTAGGGATGTTGAGCTCACTTCTAAAAGTACCAGATGGAGTCCAAGGTTAATGACTTGGCCCAGCGTAAAAACACAGATAAGCTCCACAAAGAACAATGTGAAAATGGGCTAAATACCCATAGAGAAACTAAGGATAGCCACAGCACAACACAAGACAGTTACAAAGATGTAGGAGGTAGAAGAAATGCCCTTCACTTGAAAAAACAGAAGCAAAAGGAAAAACGGCTAAGCCCTTGAGAAATTAAAAAAGGGAACACAGGTCAAGGGGATTCTAGTCCCCTACAGTGCCACTGAGAGCTAATTCATCAGGCTCATTGTGCAAGGGGACTAAAAGCCATGCCTTAAGAGCATCAGGCTCCAAAAGGAGAAAACTAGAATAAGGAAGGTGTTCAGTGTTTCCTTCAAAGACCTCAGGAATGGGAATTTCAGGTGCCTCCATATAAAAGCCAAAACCCAGTTTCACGACCTGTAATAGAGCTAAGAACAGCTTGGATCCTGGGTATAGCCTCTATTCTAGATGAAGCTGATATGTACACACCTGTCTCTCCAAGGGGCTCTGGCAGTGTGTCCCAGACTCCTAGCAACCCCACATTTCACAGTATAATGTGGCCCCAGAGACCTTGCCCAGTTTACCTGCCCTGCTACACTGCAGCTTTTTTCCTGAGGAGCGTACAATATGCCCGTTATGTTAGGCTCTCACCTCAAAAGACAGTAGTAGAGGGCCGGCCCATGGCTCACTTGAGAGAGTGTGGTGCTGATAACACCAAGGCCACGGGTTCGGATCCCTGTATAGTGGTGGCCGGTTAGCTCACTTCAGAGAGTGTGGTGCTGACAACACCAAGTCAAGGGTTAAGATCCCCTTACCGGTCATCTTTTAAAAAAAAAAAAAAAGACAGTAGTAGTAGGAAGTTGGTCCTGGTACAGGAATAAAGAACAGACCAACTACAACTTTAAATCAGTTTATTGACACAGTAACACAACACACTTGCCTCCCTGACACGCCCACCCCCTCACACAATCTAGATCTCTCCCCTTTCCCTTCCCCTTAGAACAAGCTGTTCAATGAAAACAAAAGGGCAGGCCACTTCTACACCCCAGGTCCTACCCCTAGGCCCTGTGGAGTAGGGTTTCAGGCACTACTCAGAATCTGTTAGGGGAAGCAGTTAGCACTATATTCAGCCAGCCAGAGGCATCCAGTCCCTAAGAACAGATTACCCCACAATTCCCAGGCCCTGAGTTGCTATTCCTCTTCCTCTCTGCTCTTTGTGATCCTACAAAGGAGATCTTGTAGCCTGGGCCTATGGCCAGAAGCAAGAACTCCTGGTGGTGATTTGAGAATTGCAGTATGGCTAATGTTCTTCTAAGGCCCAGGCACCCCCAAAAAAGCCCTGGTGGTGGGAGTGAACTTCAGTGTCCATATTTTAAAATGTACTGATAACATTAAACAGATTAAACCAGCTTAACCAAATGCCGGAATAACACTAAGCTATAAAGAAGGAGGGGTCAGACCTGCTTACTCCAGGCCAGATACAAATGCATACAGAGAAGCCCAGGTGGAGTGTCAAAAAACAATTCAGGGATACTGCCCAGGGGCTGAAAAGCCTATACTCAGGAGCCCCTGGGGTGACAGGAAGCAAAGAAGGAAAATACACGTCTTAAAAACCAAAAAAGAAAGTCCAACAGCAGGGGAACCTGAGCCTGACAGTGCTGCCCTCCAGGCCTTGCCCCTGGACCCAGATAGTCCCTCCCCCTCTAGGCAATGTCCTCCCCTAGGCTAGATAGAGCACATCACACAGCGCAGTTTAAAAAGCTTCTAATGCCAGTTCATAAACATCTTCATTTACTATTGGTGATTACATGTGTATAATATGTTTATACTGTTCTTTATGGAAAACAATTTCAACGAGTCAACTCCAAGAACACAATAGGCAACCCTCACCCTGAGCCCCTCAACGTCCTTCCCTAGACAGCGAGGAGCCCTCTACTCTGTCCCAGGGCTGCCTAACATCCCCTCTTCCCCCTCTGTGGCTCTTGGGCAAAGCATCCTCTATGACCATTAGTCCTCATCGGACAGGTTCTGGTCCAGGGGGTAAACCATGAACATCACATCTGGCCGAGAGGGGACACAGGGATGGCCTGGACGCACAATCTCAAAGCCCAAGAAGCTGAAGGTCTTCAGGAGTGGAGCTGCAGAAATAGAGTGAAAAAAGGATTCTGATGAGACACACTAGGGTAGGCTCAAATCCAGGGAAAACTCCAAACAAAAATGGAACACGTAAGCACTAGGCCTTTCCTAACCCTTCAGGCACTCCACCCTCCCCCAATATTTTCCCAGTGTTGTAAGGGAAACTCAAGAGTCCCACCTCACTGTAAAGGAGCCCCCTTTTCTCCTCCCCAGCCCCCACTGTCTGGGCTGTAGGTCTCAGGCTGCTTTTACTCCTCACCTCTGTCTTCCCGGCCCTTCCTGAAGCAGATGAAGACGTAGTTCACTTTCATCTTCTCTTCAGCAAACTCTAGCAGTGCTAACAATCTGTAAAAAGCAAAGAAAGCTCCTTAGGGCCCACCACCACCTCCCTAGACCTTCTTCCCCATCCACCCCCCCCCCCCCCCAAAAGGCTTTTCTGAGGCTTATAGCCAGCAGTATAAGTATGGCAGCCCAAGGGAGAACGTTCCTATTTCAAGACCCAGCCCCGGAGAAAAATGTTAGTGAATTATCTCTTCCTATAATAGGGGTTCTTAATCTAAAAGTAAAACTAACCATCCTAAATCTTAACGAATGCTGTTCACAAGATAGAATTTGGGGCCTAGAAAGAACCCAGTTCTTCAGGGGTCCCCCAAGATTGCCAAGTTTTATAAGATCACCTGCCTCTGAGAGGGACACTCTGGCCCTAACACTGCCTTCAAGGATTTCCTGAAGAGGTTGGGGCCACTCAAGAGAACTACTCAGGACTGTTTCTAACACACCTGGCTGCTTGAAGGGCCTTGCCCAATCCAATGAAATCCACTCTATTTCTGAGGATCCTGGCTTTTTGAACTGCACCACTGGATGGTGTGGCTCAAGGGGGATTTAGTGTCTGCTGGGAAGAGTGAACCATGGGGTGACTAACTGGCAGGCATTTGGTTAATGTGATAATGATCTACTTTAATTATAACCTATGGCAGGCCTGTTTTACTGACTAAAAATAACCTGTTACAAAACAGTATCTTGCTTTAGAAAGTCTGGAGCTAGAGGAAAAGGAACAGACTCCCCTACAAATCTGTTATCCCCAATAAACATATACCCTGCACTGGAATGGGACCTTCTTCCCCATTTGCTCCTTTCTCTTCCCCAGCCCTGGCTCCTCACCCTTCTTTGCTCCCATCAGCTAATAATCCATCTGGGATTTCTACGAACAGGCTCTGGCTGGACAGGACTGCATCCCAAGAAGAGACCTTCACCTCGGTGACCTCATACTGGAAGTGGACGATGTGAGGTTTTCCATCATTCACAGGGAGGTCCTGGGTCACAGTGAGCTTCTCGTCCTGGGAAGGAAAGCAGGGCGGAGGACCCAGTCACCACTCCTTCTGGCCACATCGTACGTTCCCTAACTTAGGTGGTGCTAGGAGTCCCCTTGGGCCAATCTCAGGGTAGCAAGGGATAGAGGGCACACTGAAAATGCAGAGCTGCATGCTGGCTAAATAGAGCCATCATTCACTGGGCACCAGTTGATGGTGGTAAAAGCCAGCCTGATGGGAAGGGAAATATTTACCAGGTATCCATTAGGTGCCAAGTACTGCGCAAGGTGCTATCCGATACATTGTCTAAATCATCATGGTAAGCACTTAAGATGGGTACTAATATCTCCATTTTAAATCTGAGATACTAAGGCCGAGAACTATTAAGCAACCAACCAAAGTCTCCAAAGATAGTAAAAGGCAGAAGTGAGATTCAAACCCAAGTATCCCTGATTCGAAAGCCCATGCTTTTTCCCTAACATCATGTTCTTTCCCTTCCCTCTCTTATAAGGGATAAGTCAGAAACAAATGAGAATGTGTGAGGGTTTGGCTGGGGCCTTCATCAACCAAAGCGTACTTCCAGGTGGACTGTAGGGTCTCTGTTATCTCCCCTGGGCACAATCTCAAGAGACCAGAACTCAGCTGCCCTGCTAACTTCCATTCCAATCTCAGGGAAAAGCTAAACCAACTTCTGGGCCTTAATCACAGCAGATTAAAAGGCAGCAAATGGTGCTGATATCCTCCCTCTGGTACTCCCGAAAAGCCACGTAGCAGCCTCAGTTTAAGTGTCCTTCCCAGTCCCCCTACTGGCCTGGCCTAAGAGTCAGAAGACTGAAGAAAGTGATTACTGCTCTTAAGTGGCAGCTCAGTAGTGTCTGAGAAGGCTCTGCCCCATGACTTCCATCCCTGGTCCTCCTTACCTTATATATTAGAGCTGAGAG